CAGCTCTCTAGCTCCTCCTGGCTTTTAAAATTTAGGGATTCGCAGTGTATAGTCTGCAACTTTGGGAGTCAAGGGGGTTAGGTTGTCTGACAGCCAAGCCGTCGTCCGTCACAGCCAAGCTTGCGGACACAGGGGTAGTTTTCGAAGCCCGGGCCCCTTCTTCTTAGCTCCACAACATTACTATTGTACGGCACCCCCCATATAGAAAGGGCCCTTGAAGGGGAAGCCTAAGTTAGAGGACTACACACTCCTTAAACACGAAAGCTCCAAAGATCGAAGCCCTCATAACAAAAGGGCCACATGGACCACAAATAAACCCCGCACTCGCAAACTAAATTGCTAGAAACATGCCTAGACCCTAAAATCAAACCCTAAACCACCTAACAAAAACCCTCAACCACCTCACCCTAAAACTTAGAACCCCCAAACCCTAAACCCTCAAACCTGATCTGCGGACCTGCAGTCCCAAAGCCACATTGGAGCTACTCGAGTGTCCCAACAAGTATGCGAGATAGCCAATAAAAACCAAAATCCGAAACTCCAAAAACAAGCCCCACAAAATCCTACGCTTCCCTACAACCACGAAGCCGTCCTCCTTCATGCTCTCCAGCAGCCTTAGCGCAGCTTGTACCGATCGGCCGCGACCCGCCGCGGTGATGGTCGCATTGAAGGCTATCCTTTATGGGGATTAGGCGCTTGAGTTTGAAGGCTTGGGGTTTAGGGTAATTAGGGCCTTGTCGGCTTGGGCGCTGATCAGGGCGTTTAAGGAGTAGCCGCGCAGCTCCTTCGTTTTCGGGCTTTGGGCAAGCGGTTGATGCAGGCTTGGTTCATTAGAAACTCGAGCCGCAAGGCATTCATATAGTATATGCTATATTACCCAATACATAACACCTAAAACACAATAACACTGTATCACATTGACATACTTTAGATAATGCGTACTGAATGCCTTTAACTAGGTCATATACTTGGATCTATATATATATATATATACATATATATATATATATACATATACATATATATATATATATATTTCTGTATGCGGTTAAACATTTATATGTATTCATGTTGTCTAGTTTTTGTAGTAAGAAATTATGTCATTTCTCATTTCTTTTTTTGTTATTTATTCAGTTATTCATGCATCTTGCTTGTAAATATGTATCTATTTGAATAGTTTTTACTCTTGTATTTTGTATGTACTTGTGTAGATGTTCATGTACGGCATTCTTAAAATTTAAAGCTTGGTTCTCTATCATGCATGTGTTAATTTGTTTGTTTTTTATGTGCTGAACTGTTCGCTGAAGCTATTGCTTGTTTCTGAAGAGCGGAGGAAAACGGATCAAGTAGCAGCAGGGCAATCTAAAGCCTTTCTCATTAGAACAAGGACTTGCGGCATGTTAGGGCCGTATAGTATCATATGCCGCTGCAGGTATAGATTTCACCCTAAACCCTAAACCCCTAAACCCTTCAGAGCTCGCGATCTGCTGTGGCCTTTACGCAGCCCCGAAGCCCGGGGAGAGAACCCCGGCGAATACACCCCCTGCCGTGGACAAGGGCTATGATGGGCGTCTTAGTCTTAATCTAGGGGTCCAAAGGACCCAATAATTGGGTACTTGGGTTTCAGAGAGTAGTTATGTAGGTTATTTTTGGAGAGTATATGATATTTAGGGACGTGGACCCACGGGTTATGGCACTGGGAGAAGGTTCAGGGCTCCAGATTCTGCTCTGGGGCTCTGCAGAGAAACCGTTCGTCGTGACATATAAAACGAAGATACAGCAAACATTATGCAGAAGGGTGTGCAAATGCTCACTCGTCATACGTGACCTGGAAGACGTGCGCCTATAGTTTAGAAACAGCTAACAAATATCAACACGCAAATACCTACCAGGTGAGTTTGTGCTTTATCAGTCCTGCTGTCATTGGCGTCATTCCCATCATCAGTATGCTTCAGCATTGCTCGTTCACACCGTCATGTACAAGCTTTTGCAAAAGTCGCGCTTGCTGTGCCTACCGCCACCGCCACCACCACCTCGACGAAAACGACGACGACGACGACGACGACTACTACTACTACTACTACTGCTACTGCTACTACTACTAACACTACTCCTACCTACGACGACTAAGACTACGACTACGAAAACAACTGCTGCTACTAGGCTGGGTCCTTGTTAAGGGAATCAATTTAAGTCACCATAATAAAGAAGCCATAATATTTACTATAGGTCCCCATTATGGTAACGTAAGGTTTCCTTAACGGAAAACCCAGTTGGGCAAAGCTGCCAGGGCTCACGTTTGGTGCGGCCGTGAAGTTCGACCTGAGAGCTGCGGATTGTGTTTTGACAGAAGGGCGACTTTAGTGAAGGGTTTAGGGTATAGGATTTAGGGGTTAGGGGTTTAGGGGTTTAGGATTTTAAAGGCTTCTAGGTTTATAAGGGTTCTGCAGCCTATGACTTATGAGTGTCCTGAATAGGGGGTTGAGGAAGGGTTCTAATCTCATAAGGACTTTGTAGGGATTCTGTAGGGGCCAGCTAAGGGTTCTGTAAAGGGACGGAGGCTGGATTTGGGATGGTTTCACCCTCAGCGCATTGCAAAGGATGTTAAGGTTCTTTGGGTTTTCCTCTGGCGTAGAGGTCTTCAGGGCTTTGCAGGAGGATAGACATTCAGACCCAGGGGTCCACATGTACTACCATGATGGGATTAGGTCCCAACAGACCATCCTTACTGTGATTTTGGGGACCTAATTCCAGGAGAGTAGTAATTATATGGACCCTCTTGGAGATAGATACTCTTGGGCTCTACATGCTCAACATCCGACCAACTTTACTGGCTTGCGACTTCTCTGGACGTAGCTCGTGGGATATGGGGTCCTTGTGCGGACTATGTAAATCCTTGGCGGAGCTTTTCGCGACATACTGTTTATGTAACCGACATTGCGCAGTTCGGGATCGCAAATTTAGAGTTGAGGTGCAGAGACGGAGGCAGGACATCGAGAACCTCAGGTATATAACAACAATAGCATTCCTTAGTATAACCATACTACGATATACCCCAAAGCCTCCATTCTCATAATGAAACCCTAAACTCTAACCCTAACCCCTAAACTTGATAGCTGACCAATGAAGGAACTTGTTGGTCGTTTCATCGATGCAGGTGGAGAAGGCTACTGTAGGAGCCCAAATAGAACAATAACTAGAACACGAATCATAATTAAATAATCATAATTGAATAATAACACTAAATAATCATAATTAGGTAGTCAGAACTAAATAATCACAATTAGATAATCAGAATGATAAAAACAGTAATGATCAACAGCTTTGGGGGGGGTAGTTTCTACTACACTCGCAATAAGGAGCCTTAAGGACCGGTATGGATAAGTCTTCCAGGAGCTTCAGCAGGTCTGCTATAAGGGGCCTTAATCCTTAGAATCGGGCTTTGTGGGGTTTATTATACTAAAGTTCTAACAAGGAATCCCAAAACAGTATTGGAAAGTATTCGGCCAATTATTTTCAGCCCCTATGTGGGTAGTTGTCAAAATTATGGCCCCCTTTTGGGTACGCTGAATAAAGTGGGGGCCGGATTATAATAAGGACCCGAAAAGGGGCCATAATTTTGAAAACCACCCATATTATGGTCCAACCTCTCGGAGGGAGCGATTAGGCGCCTTTCACAGGGGTTTACGGCTGACGGAAGCTCACCTTTAGGGCTTTTCGGGTTGATGGGGGTTTAGGTAGGGTTCAGGGTTTAGGGTTCACATCTAGGGCTTAAGGATTCAAGCAGGGTTTAGGATTTAAGGGTAAAGAGTTTGGGGTTTAGCGGTTTGCACTTCTCAGGTGCAGCCGGAAGGCATTGAGGAGAGGAGATGAACCGCCTCTCGCCACAAGCCACAGTTGCTGCATGCAGCCAAGACCGCGGTCAGGGTGACCTCCTTCGGATTTAGGGGTTTAGGGTTGCGAATTTGAATGTAAGATCTTGGGATTTCGGATTTTCGGATCAGTTTTCCCAGCGGTGCAAACAACACCGCTGTAAAAAAAACACCTCAACTGCGCACATGTGCGCAGCACATACCATAGCCTTAGTCTTCGCAAATTCTACATGCTCCGTCATTGGCTTCAACGCGTAGGAACTGCACCCGATGAAGTTCTCCGTTCAAAAGACAGGAATTTGCTTCAAAAACACCTACAACTCAAAAATGCTACGACTACTACGACTCCGACTCCAACCACTGCTACTGCTACTGCTACTGCTGCTACTACTGCTACTACTACGCCCACCACCACTACCAGTCCCACTACTAGTACCACCGCTTGTTCTACTACTACTCCTACTACTACTACTACTACTACTACTACTACTACTACTACTACTACTACTACTACTACTACTACTACTACTACTACTACTACTTGTACCAGTACTAGTACTACTTGTACCAGTACTAGTACTACTACTTCTACTAATTTCACTTGCGCGATGACTGTGCTACTACTCCACAACGACGGCGGCGACTCCTTCTACTACCAATACTCCTGCTGATAGCAGCGCGAATCAAAAAGCAAGCAAGAGGTTTGAGGGTAGTTATCTACCCTGCAACTGTGGCTCATCCGGCGTGACGATGGAAGCCACCAGCTCAGACAGCATCTGGATTCCTGCTTTCCAGTTGCTGGCATCCTCAGCTGCGGCTTGCAGCACTCTCTAGGCTGAACGCAATGAAGCCTTGGACTACTTCGAAGCTAGGAAATGTCCGGATGAGTGAATCGTGGTCCTACGAGCTCAACGGCACGCATGGGGCATGATAGGAGTTCTTAACCTTGCGAACGGAAAGACCACTGACTGACTACGATGAGTAGCATTAGCGGCTACAACAACGAAAGGCGTCATACTGCAAATAGTTCTTGGTCGTGGTGGTCGAAGAACATGAGATAAGTGGAAGCGCGGGCCCGTACTATATAAGAACCAACACGGATCACGACGGATCAATCAGAGGCTTACATTAGCATTAGTAGACATGCCAGGAGCAGTAGTGGTTGTGATGGCGATGGAAGAAAAAGAAGCAGAGACGTCGGCTTGGTAATCTGCCAGAGAAAGCAGGAGGAGCAAGAGAAGCACAAGCAGCAGCAGCAGCAGCAGCAGCAGCAGCTGCTGCTTGTCTTGATACTGTTAAACAATCGTCGTAGACATGTGGTTTGTTTTATCTGCTTCCGCCGATTTAATATGATGACCGCGTTGCTGATGATTGTTGCTGGGAGCATTGATGTTACCGTAAAGGTCCAAGTTAGTATACATATACTCTCCCCCAAGCATAATCATCACCTGCACAAACTGACATCCCGAACCCGAATACTTAGACATGTCCGAAGATTAGGGGTGCCTTATTTTGGGGTCCTTATAATGAGGATGCGGCTATTTGGGGTACTATATTAGGGCCCCCCCCATTTTCGGAAACTCCTATCTAGTTATTGGGTTGCGAATTGAAACCCATGAGCATCCTAGGCTCTCCACATGCCTTGATCAGGCTAGAGTACGTCATCTGATCCGGGACGACTCTGGCAAGGCCTCCAGACCAAAAAAAAAATCTTTCGAATGTGTTTGTTCATGCAGGTTCGATGGTTCCAAGGTGTCTTTCATGCCCTTGAAGATGCGCAAACTGCACCGTCGTAAACATCTTGAGCAGAACGCATGTCAAGCTCGCGCGTCTGAGAAGAGATTGCAGCTCGAACAGTGACCGGAAACAGTCTCAGCCGTCGGGGACTCTACTTGCCAAACTTGTCCAAGCTCTCCAGAAGTACCGGGAATTGCTTGCCCGACTGAAGGTATCTGCATTCAAATCTTCATTAGCAACTGAAGCGACAAAGATGGGGCTGCAGTACCTCCGACCTCCAAGCACAACACAATAAATTCAATAAATCATACGTCCACACACTGATGTTAGATTGCCTGTGTCTGGAGATCGGGTATGCCGCTGTCGGTACTGCAATAACTAAATCCAAATCCCATCCAAATGTTCACAAACCAGCCGGGAAGCCCATGTGCGGTAGCAGAGTCACTGCGACAGTCCAAGCATTGACCCAGCTGCAGACCTGGATCGTCTGCGTGTAGCCTTGTGCACTCATCACGCAGTCCGGTGACCGAAAAAAGCGGAGAAAGGTCTTTGACTGTAGGTATTATGTATATATATATATATATATATACATATAATTCAGAACTGAGGCTCGCTGACTGTAAAGGTTGAAGCAGCTGTGTAAGAGAGCGGTCTGCCTGCTTCGCGTGAACCTTCACTATTTGGAATGAAACCTTGGGGCCCTTTATACCATACTTATAATACGGAGCCCCCAAAATAGTGTTGGTATTTATGTAGGCCCCTAAGTTCGCTGCCTGCCCCATCAGGACCGTAAACCAACCCTAAACCCAACGTCGACCAAAGAGCTGATTGTGTCTGCAGTAACCCGCATCTCCAGTGGAGCCGTCCTTCAGGGACTCCCACCGAAGATACAGCTTCTGAGGCTTCCAGGGTTTAGGGTTTGCGGTTCCATACTCTGAAACCTCATCATCGATTCCTCTTCTATCAGGCTTAAATGTCCTAGTCAGGCGCGGAAGCACAGAGCGACATTTCAAAGTCGACTGAGTCTGACGGAGGGGTCTGCAAGGGACTGAGGGAAGCTGCTCATAAACTGTGCAGACTCCAAATGCTGAAACCCCAGCACCACCTAGACCCGAAACCCTGAACCCTAAACCCTTCTTAAACCCCTAAACCCTGAACCCTTCTTAAACCCTAAGCCCTTCTTAAACCCTAAACCCTTCTTAAACCCTAAACCCGAAACCGTAAACCCTAGAACCTTCTTGCGATGGCAGATTGCACGCTTACGTTTCCCCTCGCCGTCCGCAGCAGATCCAGGGCGTGAACCCACGAGTGAGATCGCCGACCTGTGTACAGCGAGACACATTGCGAAAGACTCTCAAAGGGATCTAAAAAGGGTGCCTTCAAGGGGGTCCTGTAAACGGATCTATAGGGTTTTAGGGTTTAGATTGATAATATAACTGTCTGGTGCTTAGTAGGGCATGGGGGAATGGATCCCGAGAGTCGTCCCTATACAATCCCAAGTAATAGCCTCCATAGTCCATTCCCTACTAAGAACCAGACAGAAGATTACCCTCTCTTAATTCATCTTACAGTAGAGCTTTTGTATACCAAGTTTACGACATTCTGGCTTATGTTCGACTGTCTTGAAGATTAAGCTACACTACATTACGTTTTATCATGTAATGTTATGAGACGTAACATCAGGTCATATAATATTACATTATGTTACATTGGGTTATCTTGTTTTATTTTATGTTGTGGTATGCGAGATTATGTATTTTACTATGCCATGGTACAATATATTATGGTAGAGTACAATATGTAATATACCTTAGACGGCCTTTACATACTTATGATATCATGTTTGTTTCGTTTTGTTATGCTACACTGAGGTGCTATACCGGAATACAATTTATTATGGTATTTTACTGTACTATATATACATACACATATATATATATATATATATATATGAGCTACAGCTACATTATACAATGTTGATAGCATCTCATATCATGCTAACCTGCATTATCTCATGTCACACCGTAAAATCACAGTGGGTCATATTGCACTAAATTAGTTTGTAGTATATTGTGTTATACTAACTTAGATTATATCGTACCGTGTAACGTCATATTGTATATGGCAACATGATGTTCTACTGTACTAACTTATACCACGATCTCATGTAGTACCAGGTGAAAAACCTGACGGTAAGACGAAAAAGGATAGACTCTTAGAGACAATGACAAAACATGGAATACAATCAAGTCCTGTACCCTAACCCTGACACCTGAATGTCTTCACCGAACCCAGACCCGGCCCTCAATCGCGATCCACCAACCCGCAACTCCTAAACCCTTCAACCCCTCAACCCCTTAAACCCGAAACCCCTCAACCCCCAAAACCCTAAACTCTAAACCCTAAACCCCTAAACCGTCACCAAGGAGCATTCGCTAATTCCGCCTGCGAAGGCCAACTGTTCAGCCGACGGTCCAAGCGAGGGCGACATGACCTAGAGCACCAAAACAATTCCTAAAAGGTCCAAAGGACCCAAGAGTTAGGTACTTAGGTTTAGGATACATTAGGGTTCCTTTACAGGGTTCTATAAGGGCTTTAAAGTATTTCATAGGGGTATTAAGGGTCCAACGGACCCAATAAGTAGGTACTTAGGTTAAGGGTAGTAGTTATGTAGGTTACTATATGGGAGAGTAACCCTTAGGGAAGGATTTCGGCGCTACCGACAGTCTGGAATGTAGTATATAATCATATGGTTTAGGGTTTAGGGCATTTAGGGTTTGAGGTCTACGGTTTGAGGTTCTGGGTATGGTTCCTACAACCAGCATTCGGATGTATGCAACAACGTACCATCAACAATAGTCCCAATGGCAAGCTTTGCCGCAGCCACAAGTCACAAGCGTTCACAAAAAGACACTTCGTCTACGGTCCTCATTAGCGGCAGCAGTGGTGCTGCAGGATGCTGTGCCGTCTGAGACTCAGGATTTCAAGTATGCCGCAATGCCGACTTGGAAACTGTCCTTATCTCGCAGAACTCGGGTTGCCGCCATCTGCAACAAAAGCTGGAGTGTTGCCTGCCAGTCACGACATGCACCAATGGCCGCGTTGAAGCTGATCTGGTCTGGCACGACCCTAACTGCCAAGGCATGCGTGAGCAGAAGCAATGCCCTCTGCCACTGGCAAACTTCGTCACAAGCAATGATACCGGCACCTTGTCTGACAATATCCGGGGCAAGTCTGGCTGACGGCATCAGCGAAAAATTGTAGTTGGATTTCTGCCCAGCGCTTGACTCACATGCACTGATGCTGGCATTGAAGCTGACAAGGTCTGGCACAACCCTGGCTTCCGACATCTGCCAAAACAAGAACAGTGCCATCTGCCACTGACAGCCTTTCTCAAATGCACTTATGGCGGCGCTGAAACTGATAACGTCAGACAACACTCTGGCTATCGGCATGCAGGAAAAGAACAGCAACGCCATCCGCCACTTCACCTTCTTTTCGCAGGCACTAATAGCAGCACTGAAACTGACCTGATTAGGTGCGACGGCGGCTTCTGGAATTCGCGAGAAGAGGATCAAAGCGTTCTTCCACACAGACCGTTTCTCACATGCGCTGATGCCGGCACTGTAGCTAAAGACGTTTGGAAGAACTCTGGCCTGTGGCATTCGTGACAGCAAGTCCAGAGCCATCTGCCACTGATCACTCTTCTCGCAAGCACTGATGCTGGCACTAAAACTGATAACGTCCGGAACCACCTTGGCCATCGGCATACGTGAAAGCAAATAAATGGCTAACTGCCACTCACCTCCTTTCTCACAGGCGCTGATGCAGGCGTTGAAGCTGATCAAGTCCGGCACAACTCTGACGGTCGGCATCTCTGAAATCAGATGCAGAGATATCTGCCACTCACCACCCCGCTCACACGCACTGATGCCTGCATTTAAACATTGGTCGTTTGGGACAACGCTGGCTGGTCGCATCTGAAACAGAAGCTGGGTGGCCGTTGACCAGTCACCGACATTTGCATGTGCGCTGATACATGCACCGAAGCTAACCTCGTTTGGCACAGTCTGGGCCGATGCCATCTGTTGCAAAAGTCCGAGTGCACGCTGCCACTGCAAGCCTTTCTGGCAGGCCGATATGGTAGCACTAAAACCGTAAATGCCCGGTACTATTCTGGTAGAAGAGCTGCTTGACAGGACTTCGAGTCCAGTTTGCCACTGCTGGGATCTGGCAGAGGCTATGATCGCCTTGGAAAAAGATGATGGTTTGCAAAGTCTGGCAAGATCGGCACCATAAGTGTCTTTGAACTCTGGGTCTCGATTTCCGACTGTACCGGCAGCAGTCGAGCCGACACAGGCAGGCTTCGCCTGTTGACCAAGTTGCAGCATCGCACTTCATCCCCAACACAGCTCCAAGTCCTTTCGTCAGACACCTCTGCTGCGACAAGGTCGCCCATCGCACCTAGGTACTTCAGCTGGCCTACTGAAAAGCTGGAAAAAGTGCAATTCCCAAGACTCCAACCGCCTTTGACCAGGAATTGTTTGAACGTGCGCTCAGGAACGGACAACACACAAGAAGTGCTTCTGCCGCATTGACTAAGCAAGAACAGCCAATTGCTGCCCATCCAAAAGCTGCGAAAAAATCATCAAGCGGACACTTCCTTGGTATCCTGACCACTCGGCCGATCACGGCATTGAAATTGTGGAAGCTAGTTCTGGATGCTGCTAGCTGCACTGTAGTAGAAAATTCTAGTACTACTCCTCGTGCTATGAATGCTATTGCCGGTTTAGGGTTCACAACCTGGGTTGATGGTGAAGCTTGTGTTTGTGGAGTTGGTAGGTGTTCCTGCTGTTGATAGTGGTGTCGTTGCTGCTGCTGCTGCTGCTGCTGCTGCTGCTGCTGCAGTTCCGCTGCTGCTGTTGCTGGTCGTGGTGCAGCTGCTGCAGGCATGGGACTGACATTGCATTGTGACTCTTGCGCTTAAAAAACTTCAAGCTGAGTACTCTGTTTCCGAAACACCCAATAACATTGCAGAAGCCACGATGCTCCAAATGATCCCGTGAGCTTTAACACGTCTGGCTCTATTTCCCTGATGTTTCCGTTGCTGGAGTTCGGAGTTTGGGAACCCTAAACCCCTAAACCCTAAACCCAAACCCCTAAACCCTAAACCCTAAGCTGCCATAGACCCTAAACCATCTCGGGATGTTGGAAGTCGGCTCTTCTCATTCGAAACCTTCAGAAACCTGAAGCCGTGTCGGTTTCGAACGGCGGGCCTTTGACGTTAAGCTAAGTATATGATTGTACAATTATAATCAGGAGCCCCCAACATAGTACAGGTAATTATTTAGGCCCCAATAGTAAACCCTGAGCCCTAAACCCCGAAACCTTAATCGAGGGTTTAGGGGTCTTTTGGCTTGGAAAATCACACACGGATCCGGTTCGCGATGCCCCGCGAGGAGGATCTGACTGGTGTTGCACTAATGAGCTAATATAGGGGCCTTGATAATTCCAACAGAGTGTATATCATGCTATAAACGTAATAATCATGTTAACAAGATTTAACAAGGAAATTCCTGAGGCTTCTCTATTACCTGCCACCCCCCATGTTTCTCGCATGACTTGGTACGACCACTGAAGCTGATCGATCACGTGTGGCACGACCCTGGCTGCCGGCATCTGTATGCAGAGCAGATACAATGCCTTCTGCCATTCGCTACCCTTCTCACATGCACCAATACCAGCATTGAAACTAATCTCGTTGGGCACAACTCTCAAAATCGGCATCTGCGAAAGCAGCCGCAGCGCCATCTGCCATTCGCCGCCTTTCTCACAAGCCATCATACCAGCATTGAAACTTCTGTGGTTCGGAAGAAGCCTGACAGTCGGCATCTGCGTCAAGAGATGCAAGGCAGCCTGCCATGCACCGGCTTGCTCACACGCATTGATTGCCGAGTTAAAACTGACTTCATTTGCCAAGACTCTGGCCGCTGGCATCTGCGATAGGATGTGCACAGCCATGCGCCAAGCACCACCAGCACCACATGCGCTGATGCTAGCACTGAAGGTGATCACGTTTGGTATCGACCTGGCTATCGGCATCTGGGCTAACAGGTGCAATGCCTTCTGCCATTCACCGTCCTTCTCACACGCGCTAATGCAGGCGCTGAAGGTGATCTCGTTCGGCACCAGTCTAGCTGAGGGCATCTGCGAAAACAAATGCAAGGCCATACGCCACTCACCACTTTTCTCACATGCACTGATCGCAGCATTGAAGCTTCTGTCACTTGGTAGAATTTCGACTGTTTGCATATGTGAGAACAAACTCAGGGACATCTGCAACTCACCACCTTTCTCGCAGGCACTGATCCCAGCATTGAAACTGATCACGTCTGGTACAACTCCGGCAGCCGACATCCTCGAAAGAAGGTGGAGCGCCACTCTCCACTCGCCACTCTTCTCACATGCGCTGATACCAGCATTAAAACTAATCACGTTTGGTGTGACTCGAACTGCCGCCATCTGTGACACAAGGTATAGAGCCTTCTGCCACTCAGCAGCCTTCTCACATGCACTGATGCAAGCGCTGAAGCTGAAAACGTCCGGTACAAGCCGAGCTGACGGCATCTGTGAGAACAATGACAAAGCCATCTGCCATTCGGCACTTTTTTCACAGGCACTTATCGTTGCATTATAGGAGAACAAATTAGGCTCAGTGTGGACTGTTGACATCTGGGTTAGCAGCCGAAGTGCAAGCTGCCACTGCAAGCCTTTCTCGCAAGCGGTCAGAGCAGCGCTGAAGCTGTAAACGCTCGGGACGATTTTGGAGGCAAAGATGTCTGCAAGAACTTGCAGGCCAACTTCCCACTGCTGGGCTCTTGCACATGCAACGATAACTTTGGAAAGACCTTCGTCACGCCCCTTGTCCAACTGCTCTTGCAAGCGCAAGATTCCGAGCTGCCAGTCTTGACAATTGCGGGCTGCTGGCACGACAGTACCGAAATCGAGACTGTTCGTCTGCTGACCAAGGTGGGGCAGATCTGTTACCATCAGGATGGCTATACGACAAAATCCTGTGTGGTCGGCCAAGGCTATCGTGTGCAGACCGGGTGCTAGTGCCCTCGGAGTTCTCCACCGTTGCCCCGAGAAGGAGCAGAAGTGTTGGGGTTGGGTACTGCCCCAATACGGTAAAAGTGTATAATGGGGCTACGAGTAAGGTCCTAATGCACCTATACTATGAATATTATTCAACTGTTACTGAGTGGGGGCAGTACCCAAAGTGTTGGTGTGTGCCACATGCCGGGAACTCCACCTCTCTTGTGCGATGCGCACTGTACAACAGCAGCAACAGCCAGAACCACAACCAGAACGAGGACCTGAAGCACAACAGCAGCAGCAGAAACAACAACAACAACAACCAACACCAAGACCAAAGCCAAACCACAAACACAACAACAAGCATAACCACTGCCACAGTCACAGCCATCACCGCGACCCAACACCAGCAGCAACAACAGCCCCAAACCCCCAAACCCTAAAAGCAAAGCCCCTGAACCCCTGAACCCTAAAACCCTATGAACCCTAAAGCCCCCAAACCCTAAAAGCCTAAACCCTAAAACCCTCCTAAACCCTAAACCCCCTATGCCCCTGACCCCGGCGCGCCTTGGTGCTGGAAGGGCCGCACTAGCGCTGCTTGAGCAATGGAGGGTGCGCCAATTTCCCGGACCACTCGGACGATTCAGTTATGGTTGCAAGGTTTAGGGCTTAGGAGTTTAGGGCTTTCAGGTTTTAGGGTTTCAAGGTTTAGGGCTTATAGGGATTTAGGACTTCTTCTCGGCTTAGGGCTTAGGGTATTATACCCCAAACTAAACCCTATAAACCCTGAACCCCTAGACCCTAGGCCTATCATACCAGCCGCCTGGCTGGAACCTGAGGGCTGAAAAGGTTCAGAGTGTGTCTTTTAATTTTGGTGTGCAATATTTATGTTGAGGGTTTAGGGTATATATATATATATATAAAGAGAGAGAGAGAGAGAGAGAGAGAGAGAGAGAGAGAGAGAGAGAGAGAGAGAGAGAGAGAGAGAGAGAGGGCCTCCTGGGTCAGAAGGGTTTAGGGCTTATGGGTTTATAGGGTCTAGGGTTTAAGGGTTTATAGGGTTGAGGGTTTATAGGGTTGAGGTTTTAGGGTTTAGGGCTTAGGATCCTTTCTCAACCTTCGGGTGCCATTCCCTGCCCTGCAATAACATGAGCCAGAATGGAGCGTAGGGCTTGGGATTGTGAAGTTTGGGTTTCAGGGTCAAGGAGCATCCGCCTCCGGCATTGCGATTTGCAGTCCACGACAGCACAAACCCTAAACCCTAAACTCTAGACTCTAAACCCTTAACCCTAAACGAGCGCAGATACCGTGAACATACCGATAGAAGCCCTAGAATCCTTAGAACCCATTACGCTGGGCACTTCGGACCTAAATCTTTAGCAACGACTTGAGACGTGATTTCACACGAAGGGATGAATACCTGAAGAAATCTAGAGTACATTGACACAGCATTATCGTAACAAGGTGTCGCGAGCATCTTTCAGGCAGCAGAGGCACACAACATCTACTCTGCCAAGCCAACTATTACCCGGATTGCATGTACAACGTCCAATCCCCGACAACAACGAAGCCCCCTAAGCACACATAGGTACCACTGTAGCCAGCACTCTGCAGCCTACAACTTACGATATACATCCATCGCAGTACAACAGGAACATACAACTACCATCTTTCCAACTTCAGAGTTCCATCTGCCAGACAAACCCTAAACCCTAAACCCAAACCCTAAACCCGAAATCCAAACCCTGAACCCTAAAGCCCAGTCCCTAAACCCCTAGGAGGCCCCTGCATTGGTCGAATTTGTGCTGCCATCTTCCGGAGGTACAAGGCATTTGCCTGACCCAGGAGAGCTGCGACGCAGGATTTAGGGTTTAGGCTTTCGGGTTGAAGGTTCATGGTTTAGGATTCAAGGTTTAGGGTTCAGGGTTTAGGCTTTAAGGTTCAGGGTTTAGGATTTAGGGTTCAGGGTTTAGGGTTGAAGGTTCAGGGTTCAAGGTTTATAGGGTGCGGTATAGGGTTTATGGTTCAGGGTCTAGGGTTTATGGTCCAGGGTTTAGGGTTTAAGGTTTAGGGTTGAGGGTTCAGGGACATATTTGTTCTTTTGAGTGCGATGTTGGTGAGAGAACATGTTGGGTGTTGATATGGCGAGAATGGTAACTAACAATACCCCTCTGTCATGTGACGTCCCAGGTTTTTCAATGCTTCTGACATCCCTCCGCTCGCCAAGAGCTCCTGGCTTCCGATACATAGGACTTTCCCACGATAAGGCACCCACATGTAGAACCCTCACTAAATG